ATGATGGACAATGGATGATGGGTAATGAACGATGGATGATGATGGATCGTGGACAATGGATGGTGCGTGATGGATGGATGATTTACGATGGATGATGATGGATGATGGATGAATGATGGGTGATGGACAATGGATGATGGATGATGATGGGTGATGGATGATGGGTGATGGATGGATGATGGATTATGGATGAATGATGGACAATGGATGATGGACAATGGATGATGGATAATGATGGGTGATGGACAATGGATGATGGATAATGATGGGTGATGGACAATGGATGATGATGGATGACGGGTGATGGATGATGATGGGTGATGGATGAATGATGGATGGATGATGGATGATGATGGGTGATGGACAATGGTTGATGGATGAATGATGGACAATGGTTGATGGATGAATGATGGATGATGGTTGATGGATGAATGATGGATGAACAGAGAAAACCTCTTATTTTGATGAAATTGGGATTTTTTGAAATCCACTTCCATATATTTGCTTCATATTTAGCTTTTAGCTAACATTTAGCTATTTTTATCTTTTAGCCACTGTTTTGCTGTTTTTAGCTGGTGGAATGAAAGTTTTAGCTAGTATTTTTGCTAACAAAACAGTTAGCTTTCAGTAACTGTTTTGCTACTTTTATCTACTGTTTATTAATTTATCATTTTAGCGTCTGGTTTGGTTTATTGAGGAGTATAAGGAGCTTTTAGCTAGTATTTGGTGTTTTTAGCTTCTAGATCCTCTTTTGCTCATTTTAGCCAATTGTTAACCAATAGTTCGGAAAGTTTTAGCTTTCGTTCAGATTGTTTAAACTTTCTCAGTTTTAGCTTCTGTAATGTGTTCGGCTGTGTGTGGTAGGAGTTTCTGTTCTTGCGGCTACTTCCACAGGAAATCTAGCTTGATATCTGTAAAGTGGGCGAGCTTTAGCCATCGTTGGCTTTGCTAATGTCAGGTAGCTGTGGCGGCCATCTTGAATCAAGTCGACACTAAACGTTAATCAGCTGTGAACAGTTCAGTCCCTGAAAGTTTCATTACGGGCGGCTGAGGCTGAGTGGTTAGAGCAGTCGTCCTCCAATGAAAGAGTTGGGGGTTCGAATCCACGAGCAGCCACATGTTGAAGTGTCCCTGGGCAGGACAGTGCCCCTCATCACCTGCAGTGTGTCCATCAGTGTCTGGATGTGATAGAGTTCTGGTCAGTCTTTGAAGAGACACAGCGCTGAGTGAACGGGTGAACGAGGCACAGACTGTTGTAAAGAGCTTTGAGTATCTGGATCAGACAGAAAGGAGCTGTGTAAGTACAGTCCATTTACCATTACAACTGGTCCAGAGGATGATGAGATATTTTGCTAACAGACAGGTAAAACCTGATGGTCCATCTTCCACCTTGTGTCTGCAGGCTCCTGTTGGTGGCTGAAGCTGACAGAAGGTCTCAAGCTGGCGCTGGTGACCCGTCAGCTGAGCAGCTGCTTCGACTGCTGCTCTTTTAATCCGACTAATCGACTCTGACTCTAAACCCCCCGCTGCTCCACCGTGCACCTCCTCTGTATGTAGAAACCGACAGTTCGAGCTCTGCCTCAAAGTGACGACCTGTAGTCTCACAATCTTTAGGAGCTGCTTATGGTGCCATGAGCCGCCGCTGCTCCTCTGCGTCAAAGGAGTCAGCTGAGGAGGGTCATCTGATCTGGACTCCCTCTGGAGGCGCACGTCCTCCTGGGACTGATCCAGACCCAGGATCATAGATCCTCTGGTCTGGGACCACCTGGGACCGGCAGGTCCGGGGTTCTGGGTTCATCTGGCCAGAGATGAGCAGAAGATGGAGATGGGATCGTTCAGCAGATGATCAGAGTTTCTCCAGAAAATAATCTGAAGATATTTCAGATTAATCATTTCTGCCACAGAAACAAAGTTAGTGAAAACGTCATAATTCTGAATTTCTCTGATTCAAAGAGGAAGAAAGAGCTGCGTGGACGTTCAGCCTCGACTCGTTTACAGAGATTAGAAAAATGTCTTCTTTTCACAAACAGACTTGGATGAAATTCATGAAGGAAGCTGAAAACGAGCTGAATAATCCCTGAACTCCTGACGCCCGTTTAGATTCTGTCATCCAGGAGACGTGTGGCCCAAACAAAACTCAACATCAGGACTTCTGTGTTGTAGCCGAGACACAACGAGCTGAAGACGACACATAAAAACAGCCAAAGGTCATTAACAGACCAAACATGTGGACAAAAAGACCGAGGAGCCAGAAGACAAATCAGGAGACGTGAGCTGATGTAGATTTTAATCAGCAGGACGTTTTTTAAGGATCTGAAGAAATCTAATTTAATGTTCATCACTGAAACGTAAACAAACAAAGTTAAATATTTTAAGAACCATAACTGTTACAAAGGCTAAAACTGTAGCTGAAATATCCTGAATGAGCCGAGGGTTTGGACTGAAATAGCTGAAGAAACTGAAAACGGGAAAACATCAGAGATTTCACAGACATTGATCTGTTTCACACCAAAACAACCGGAAATAATCCTAAATAATCTGGAAGAGGAATGATGAGCCTACAGTTTAAATTTATTCCAATGTTTCAGCTCAGACACCTGAAATATTTTCAATAATCGATAATCAATAACTGACCTGCGTGTCTTCAGATGGACGCACGTCCAGAGCCGTTAAATCTGTCAGTCTGAGGACACCCGGCGTGTTCGGCTCATTCGGCTGCGATAATCTGATTAGTTTTCTGTATGTCCAGTCTGAGCATGCTCAGTGGGAGCAGAGCGATGAAGACTTCAGCTGCTGGAGGCTCTGATGAAGGTCAAGGAGCAAAAACTGTAGACCAAGTAAACATAAACAGCGAAGCACAGACGAGAGCCGAAACGTGTTGAAAACAAGCTGAAACTGAGCTGTTGAAGCTAAAAAGATTAAAACACAAAACTGAAGCAGAAAAGTTAGCAAAGCAAGAGCTAAAGGTTTATTTCAGCTAAACAATAGCTACAAATAAAAATGATAAGTAGTAGCTAACAGTCCATTTTATATCTAAAAAGTTCAATCTGGTCCTCTGGACATTCAAAAAAACAAAAAACAAAACAAAAAAATGTAGAAACGTTTCGTCTCTCATCCGAAAGAAGTCTCTCGGATGAAAGACTGAGGAAGTCTCTCGGATGAGAGACTGAGGAAGTCTCTCGGATGAAAGACTGCGGAAGTCTCTCGGATGAAAGACTGAGGAAGTCTCTCGGATGAGAGACGAAACATTTCTACATTTGTTTAGTTTTTTTAAATGTCCAGAGGACCAGATTGAACTTTTGAGATTTTTCTACCTGGATTATTGAGCAGCATCAGGATAGTCCATTTTATAGTAATAGTTCCTCTACATCTCGGACTTCAGGTCCAACTCTCAATCCTGCATCTGCAGAAGTTCTGGATGATCTGCCATTGTGGGCCGCACCACTGGTGACCAGTAAGGTGAGCACAGAGGTGTGGTGGACAGAACCAGCTGCAGCTCAACGCTGGACAAACTAAAGAGCTGCAGGTGGACCACAGGAAGAAGATCAGCCCCCCCAACCCTGTCAACATCAAGGGAACTGAGGTGGACACTGTGGACTGCTACAAGTACCTGGAGGTCCACCTGGACCATAAACTGGACTGACAGCTGACAACAACGCCTCTACAAGAAAGACAGGGTCGCCTTTTTCTTCTGAGGAGACTCAGGTCCTTTAACATCTGCAGGACCATGCTGCAGATGTTTTACCGCTCGGTGGTCTCCAGCGTCTTCTTCTACGTTGTGGTGTGCTGGAGCAGCAGGGTGAAGAAAGCTGAAGCCAACAGACTCTGTGAACTCGTCAGAAGCTGGTTCAGTTCTGGGAGTGGACCTGCAGTCTCTGAGCAGAGGATGCTGAGGAACCTGCTCCAGATCCTGAACAACACGTCACCCCCCCTGCATCACCCTGGACTCTTCCTGCAGCACCTTCAGTCGTGGACTGAGACCAGGAGGTGCTCACAGAGCAACACAGGAAGTCCTTCAAACTGTTAAACTCCGCCCCCTTTCTGCACAATAAAATTAATCCTGCACCAAAATAAACTCTTTCATGTTTCTGTCTGCACTGATCTGTTTTAGAACTAAATTGTTGATATATTTTATATTTTTTATATTCTTTGTTATTTTTATTTCTTGTATCAGCTGAACATTGACTAAATGTTAAGACCAGCAACAACGTATTGATAGCTAAAACTAGCAAAACGGATGCTTGAATCTTAAAATTCAGTAAAACAGTCTTGAACCCCTCCCTGGGCTGCCACCTTACCGTGGTGGAGGGGTTTGATTGTCCCAATGATCCTAGGAGCTATGCTGTCCGGGGCTTCACGCCCCTAGCAGGGTCACCCAAGGCAGACAGGTCCAAGGTGAGGGACCAGACAAAGTGCAGCCCAAACACCCCTATGATGAGAAAAATAAATACACTCCATGTTCCCTCGTCCAGATCTTCAAAGAATAGCAGAAATAAGTCTGCAGAAGTAGTTTCCATCTAAGAAACACAGAAGAAACTAAAAACAGGAAAACAACGAGCTAACGACAAGGAGCTAATGACAATGAGCTAACGACAACGAGCTAAAGACAACGATCTAACGACAATGATCTAACGACAACGAGCTAACGACAACGAGCTAACGACAACGAGCTAACGACAACGATCTAACGACAATGATCTAACAACAACGAGCTAACGACAACGAGCTAATGACAACGAGCTAATGACAATGAACTAATGACAATGAACTAACGACAACGAGCTAATGACAACGAGCTAATGACAATGAACTAATGACAACGAACTAACGACAATGAGCTAACGACAACGAGCTAATGACAACGAACTAATGACAACGAACTAACGACAATGAGCTAATGACAACGAGCTAATGACAACGAACTAATGACAATGAACTAACGACAATGAGCTAACGACAACGAGCTAATGACAACGAGCTAATGACAACGAGCTAATGACAATGAACTAATGACAATGAACTAACGACAACGAGCTAATGACAACGAGC